GAGTGCAGTGGCTTGATCTTGGCTCACCGCAGCCTCCACCTCCTAGGTTCAAGCGATTCTCCTGCCTCAGCCTCCCAAGTAGCTGGTATTACAGGCATGCACCACCATGCCTGGCTAATTTTTTGTATTTTTAGTAGAGATAGTGTTTTACCATGTTGGCCAGGCTGGTCTCAAACTCTTGACCTTAGCTGATCCACCTGCCTTGGCCACTCAAAGTGCTGGGATTAAAGGCATGAGCCATCAAGCCCAGCCAAGAAAGGAATTCTTACAGTAGTGATGTTGTAAAATGTACCATTGATAAATCATCTCCAGTTACACAAAATAAAAGTTGTGTATATGTCTGCCAGAAACATTGTACCAATAGTTCTCTGTGACACATACCAGAATTGCCAACTAAACTTTGGCAAGACCTATCTGCCTGGAGCTCCACCTTTTGAGGTGTAGGGAGTTGAGGTCCAAGCCCTCATATGTTTAGAAAGGTACACAGGTATTTCTGATGCCCACCAGAGGGAGAGAGCTGCCGCTGCCTTACACTTTATACACATTCACTTAGCCTTGTTGTGGGTCATGCTCTAGCTCTGGCCATTCATCCTCTCTTTATCTGACTTCAGGAACAACTTCAGAGATGATATCATGCTGCCTTGAATTGAGAGAACCACAGGGAATGAGGGATCTCATTCAAAGATTTTCTAAGGCTGAATGCTCATAGCCCTTATTGGTAGATTAATCGGAAGACGTGAGTGGGATGCAATGGGGCATGCTCTGCAATCCCATCTACGTGGGAGGCTGGGGCAGGAGGATAGCTTGAGCCTAGAAGTTTGAGACCTGCCCAGGCAAAATGGTGAGAACTTGACTTAAAAAACTCTGGTGTTTCTGAAGAGTCCTGCTGTTTCTGTTCCAGCCTGCTGTGAATCTGCCATTTCTGAATTTAAGCAGAAAAAGGGTCTATTTCCTCATACTATTCTAATACATTTAAATAGTATTAATTCTTTTTTTGCTGTTGTTCTTTTTTGAACTGTGGTTCGGAAGGATAAATAGTATTAATTCTAATACTATTCTAATACATACAAAATAGAATAATTTGCCTTTTTGCAATTTCTATTTCATACCTACACCACTCCAGATGAAGGGTTTGTAACTGTGGAATTAAAAAATGCTTAGAAATTTGCAATTGTGTAGTCAGATCTGAATTTGCAGTTTAAAAAAGGAAAATGTTAAATACACTTAAATGTATGTGCTACAGCTCCCAAATTACTAAAGCCACCTGGCCAACTCTGAGATACAGGGAGGGTACAAAGCCTGACACCTGGCTGGGCACTGTGGCTCTTGCCTGTAATCCCAACACTTTGGGAGGCCAAGGCAGGTGGATCACCTGAGGTCAGGAGTTTGAGGCCAGCCTGGGCAGCATGGTGAAACCCTGTCTCTACTAAAAGTACAAAAAATCCAGGTGTGGTCGCATGTGCCTATAGTCTTAGCTACTCAGGATGCTGAGGCAGGAGAACTGTTTGAACCCAGGAGGTGGAGGTTGCAATGAGCCAAGATGGCGCCACTGCACTCTAGCCTGGGTGGCAGAGTGAGACTCTGTCTAAAAAAAAAAAAGAAAAGAAAAAATCTGACGCTAGCAGGTTTCAGGATCCATCTGCCACGTCAATGAAAGGCTAGAGCCTCAAATCCTACAGATGAGAGTCATTTTTCTCCTCCTTAGCTTCTTAGAGTTTAAGAGAGTTGCAGCAGCCCTGAAAAGTAATGATTGAGCAAGATGAAGCTGTCGGAATTGAACTTTGATTTTTTCAGAGAAACTATACCTAGTTCATCTGAAGTGTTGTGTGAACTGCAGGAAGCTTCCAATGCTGGAAACTTCTCTCTTACTGTCGTGCCTTCCTACTTAGAAGTGCCTATGCTCTGCTCAGCTGTGACTGTACTGACCTCAGGACCTCACTGGACAAGGCATGTGGAGACCCTTACAGGAGCCCTGGTAAGGGTGCAATCATCCTTTTGTTGTTTCGTTTTTTTTTTTGTGATGGAGTTTCGCTCTTGTTGCCAAGATCGTGTGTCATTGCAACCTCCGCCTCCAGGTTCAAACGATTCTCCTGCCTTAGCCTTCCAAGTAGCTGGGATTACAGGCACCCACCGCTATGCCAGGCTAATTTTGTATTTTTAGTAAGACGGGGTTTCACCATGTTAGCCAGGCTGGTCTTGAACTCCTGACCTCAGGTGATCCACCTGCCCCGGCCTCCCAAAGTGCTGGGATTACAGGCGTGAGCCACTCCTGGCCTGATCCTATTGTTGCACTATTTATGGAGCAACAACTTTGTACAGAGAACGAGCTTTGTACAGAGAACAAGCTTGGCTTTTTCTCCCAATGCCGAGGATGCTGCTGATGCCGCTACGTAATAGCATAATTTTGGGTGTTCTCAAGGACAGAACTTCCCCTTTGAATAGTGGAACAATGAATTTCACCGGGGAATACATACCGACTGATGTGAAGAAAATATGCTGTTGTTTATTCCCTCCAGCGTCATTTCCATGATTTGCTTTTGTACTGTGAGTTTAGAGGAAATGTGTGATGCTGGCGTTTTGTTTGGCTTGTTTGATGCTGGAGGTTTTATGTGTTGTACATTTTACCCCTTACATTGTATAATTTGAATGCAGCAAACAAACCTGCAGTAAAAGTCCTTTATTGGCGTCTTGGTTTGGATGGATGGAGGGCCTTTGTGGTAGCGTTTGCCTTTGTGAACAGCAGACCTTTCAGATGAGAGAAGTGGGTTTTCCTTGGTGATGGAGGTGTAGAGATTGAGCCATGGGGATGATTTAGGTTAAAGAATGCTTTTTTTGGCCGGGCGCGGTGGCTCAAGCCTGTAATCCCAGCACTGTGGGAGGCCGAGGCGGGTGGATCACGAGGTCAAGAGATCGAGACCATCCTGGTCAACATGGTGAAACCCCGTCTCTACTAAAAATACAAAAAATTAGCTGGGCATGGTGGCGCATGCCTGTAATCCCAGCTACTCAGGAGGCTGAGGCAGGAGAATTGCCTGAACCCGGGAGGCGGAGGTTGCGGTGAGCCGAGATCGTGCCATTGCACTCCAGCCTGGGTAACAAGAGCGAAACTCTGTCTCAAAAAAAAAAAAAAAAAAAAAAAAAAAAAAAAAAGAATGCTTTTTTTGGCCAGCTTGAGGATCTAACAACAGAGTAGAAGGGAGCATCCCCTAGGTCAGCATGCAGAGCGGTGGGAGGGCTTTTATCTTCCTTACCCAAGCCTCTCTTTTTACTTTTCTTGAAGTCCAGAAGTTGCTCTATGATGAAATAGCCTCCTTTAACGTTTATTTCTTGGTGCCACAGGAGCTCCATTCCTCTGCCATTCTCATAATTCTTCCCAAAGGCCTATGATCTAAAAATTTCACCAGGGTGTCACTTAGCTGTGAGGCTGCATACACAGTCTACACTTCTGAAATCTGAACTTAGTTTATCAGTGGTGCTGTCTGAACTTCATAATGCCAACATTTACTGAACACTCACTGTGTGCTTGGCTTATATCATAAGGAAACAGCAAAATTAGGGGACTGGTATAAATGGTGAAGCTAGGCCTGAATCTAAGCTTTGTCTTCAGAGCCAGCACCCCAATCTCACTTTCTGTCAAATATTACTTTTCAGAGAATGAAGTTGTAGCCAAATCTTGAAATTTTCATTTACCCTAAGTGAGGACAAATGAAGCTTTCAAGAAATTGAGACCAATGTGTTCGGTCCTCACAGAAGGACTAGGCTGAACTTGCCCAGTGTTAGCAATTCCTTAGAACTAGGATAGTGGAATCACAGGGAGAAGGTGATATGGGCTATAATTAACTTTTTCTTTTTTTTTTTTTTTTTTTGCTTCTGAGACAGTTTTGCTGTGTCACCAGGCCGGAGTGCAGTGGTGCAGTCTTGGCTCACTGCAACTTCTGCCTCCTGGGTTCAAGTGATTCTTCCTCCTCAGCCTCCCAAGTAGCTGGGATTACAAGCGCGAGCCACCATGCCTAGCTAATTTTTGTGTTCTTAGTAGAGACAGGTTTTCGCTGTGATGGCCAAACTGGTCTGAAACTCTAGGCCTCAAGTGATCCGCCCCCTTCAGCCTCCCAAAGTGCTGGAATTACAGG